GACAGTCGTTTGTACGCTGTCCGACTAAACAGAACAGTAAGGACTCGAAAAGATAGGGACACTCGTCGTTGCCTCTTCGTCGTCTCTGCCTATTCTCCCACTGACTGCAGCTCAGATGATGTAAAAGATGAGTTTTACAGAAAGCTTTCCGACCTTCTCCGATAAGATAGGCGTTCAGATGTAGTAATAGTGGCTGGTGACTTTAATGCTCAAGTAGGTAAACTATGCGAAAGGGAGAGACACCTTTGTGGATCTTATGGTGTCGCGGCTCAAAGAACAGATAACGGTGACCGTCTGTAGCAGCTATGCTCAGATAACCGCCTGTTTCTTGCAAATATTAACTTTAAGCATAAGGAAAAACATCTTGTGACATGGCGACCCCCTAATTCGTCCCAACGCTGGACCCAAATAGATCACATCGCTATCAGCCACCGATGGAGGGGCTCGATAGAAGACTGTCGCTCATTCTGGAGCACATGCTTAGACTCAGATCATGCTCTAGTGCGAGCACGTATTTGTCTACGTCTTACTGGACGTAGGAAAGATGGTACAAGGAAACCCCTTAGGGTCCTACTTAATGATAGTCAAGCTAAGAGTATATTTCAGGAACAACTAGAAAAACAGTTGGGCAGCTATGTAACTGATGCCCACCCCGAGGCAGCGTGGAATGACATCCGAAAAGCTGTAGAAACAGCAGTGATGTCTGCAAGTACGGTAAACCATAAGGTTAGGGAGAAACACTGGACCTCAGCAGCGTCTACCGCACTGATAGATGCTCGAAAACTCATTCCATCTGGCTCTGAACATAACGAAGAGCGGAGTCAGCTTAAGCGTAAGCTGACTAGAAGCCTACGCAAAGATCGTGAACAGTGGTGGGTAGCGAAAGCAAGACAGATGGAAAGGCAGCGGCAATAGGTAACAGCAGGCAACTGTTCAGACTTGTTAAGGAAACCGGTATTAGGAACCCAACTGTTAGCGAAACAATCGCAGAGAAAGATGGACATATTATTCATTCTCAATGCAGGAGATTGGATCGATGGGCAGAATACTTTAGGGATCTGTTTAACTGGCCTTCAGCCACACTTCGGTTTCCCACGATCTCCAGTCGACCTGAATGGCAAGTTGATGTAAGTCCTCCGACTCTTTACGAAGTTGAAAAAGCTATAGGAAATCTGAAGCGTGGGAGAGCAGCAGGCCCTGACAGGTTTATCCCTGAGATTTTTAAGGATGGCGGTCCAGTATTAGCAGCGAGATTGACTGAGGTCTTAGGTAGAATCTGGGAACTGGACGTAATCCCATCTGACTGGTCTCAATCACTGATCGTGCCAGTTTATAAGAAAGGACAAAAGTCTTCTTGTGACAATCACAGAGGAATTAGTTTGACTAATATAGTGTCTAAAATATTAGCTTCAATAATACTTCGACGTCTAACCAAAGCTCGTGAAATGCAGACTAGAGAAAACCAGGCTGGTTTTCGACCTGGACGTGGTTGTATAGATCAGATATTCACACTACGTCAGGTTCTAGAACATAGGTACACATTCAGACGCCCCTCAATGATAGTATTTCTCGACCTTAAGGCGGCATTTGACTCTGTTGATCGTGAGGTTCTATGGCAGTGTTTGTCACTGAAAGGAGTACCAAAGAAGTACATCAACCTTATAAAGGCTCTCTACACGAACACAACTGGTCGAGTAAGAACATATGGCAAACTGTCATCAGAACTGATTACCTCAAGTGGTGTTCGTCAGGGCTGTCCACTCTCTCCATTCTTGTTTAACTTTGCCGTTGACGTGCTTTTAGAAATAACACTTTCTTCATCTAAATTTCCAGGAGTTGAACTTTTTCGGGAGATTCACTTGTCGACTTTGAATATGCCGATGACATAGTTCTATTTGGTGAAGACGCTGACAGAATGCAGTCTGCTGACCACTCTAAGCAACAATGCAGGCATGTTTGGCGTGCGATTTTCTCCATCAAAATGCAAAATGTTGCTTCAGGATTGAGTTGCATCGGCACCTGAACTAGTGATAGGGAATGAAGTAGTTGAGCGTGTCGACCGCTTCACTTATCTTGGAAGTCTCATCAGCCCTTGTGGTCTGGTGTGTGACGAAATCTCAGCACGGATACAGAAAGCTCGACTAGCTTTTACCAACTTGCGTCATTTGTGGCGTAGGCAAGATATCCGTCTAGTAACCAAAGGACGAGTTTACTGCGCAGCAGTTCGTTCCGTCCTACTTTATAGTAGTGAAACATGGCCGTTAAGAGTAGAGGATATTCGTAGGTTACTAGTATTTTATCGTAGGTGTCTTCGAAACATTGCTCGTATCTCCTGGGACCACCGAGTAAGTAACTCAATTGTTAGGAGACGGGTACTAGGTAAGGATGGCAAATCAATTGATGAAGTAGTGAAACTTAATCAGTTGAGATGGCTGCGACATGTGTTGCGCATGCCAGACCACCGGCTGCCACGACGTGCGATGTTTTGTGGTGTAGGAATAGGTTGGAAGAAAGCTAGGGGCGGCCAGACGAAAACATGGCACAAATCCATGAAGTCACTGACAAGTGGACTGAGCCATGTTGGTAGATGTAGACTACCTGGTTGGGGTCCTCGAGATGATAGCAACCGATGGTTAGAAACCTTGAATGACGTGGCTAAAAATCGTTTGCAATGGCGCAGGTGCATCCACTCTCTGTGTTCTCTCAAACTCTAATTTTCTGAATTCTCCATGTCCTTTATTTTCTTTCCAAATATATACCACTGGGCTATACTCCTTAAATAACATCATCAAACCTTAACGTTTCCTGTCACTACTTATACTTTCACTACTCTGCCACTACGGGATTTGAGACGATAACTGAATCTCTGTGCTAATGTGGTATGGCAACTCGAACTGATGTACGTACGTACGAAGTTCCACGTTGTTTCTGACTGACTGACTTGGACCGATGCATATATATATATATATGTGTCTGGTCTTATGTTGTAGCTGACTGACTGATGTGCTTTGTGTACGCAATAATTAATATACAATCTTGTCTGTTTTAAACGATAGACCACATTCTTTACACATAAAATACACAGTTTCATGTCAACTGAAATGGCGGATCGTTTCCTCATGATTAGTATTCCTTCATGTCGTTTTCCCTAATTCATGCTGAGCTGTATTTTCTCCTGAATAAACTCTTTTAAGATTTAAGTCTCCGATGAAAAGTCTTCCTACCGATTGCCTTGTAATATACATTTTGTTGTTACAACACTTGTTTTGTTCACTTAAGCTTTCCCTTATGGGTTTCTTAACGGCCTTAATTACATTCCTCATTCTTGTTACCATTCATACTCTCCATCAGTCGGCACACTAGTACTGTTCACAGTACTGGTGGGACGTGAGATCAAACAACTTAAGTCGACTCGCCCTATTTATTACTACGTTCGTGGTTATACCAATAGATAAATAAATCTTTTTTAAGTTTTGTGATTTATACATATAAAACGTTTATGGTTCAGTTAACCCGCTATTTATTGAGGGAATTTTATCTTCGCCAGATTGGTTTGATGTACATAATGAAACTGAATAAAGTGTTGCTACATACACCAAATAGTGCAGAATTTATTTCACTGAATACTAATGAACTATGTTTCGTTTTGTACCATAGTAGAGTTTCCATCACATTGTCCGTTTAGTAATTATGTCTTAAACCACAACTAGAAGTTTCTTCCTCGTTGTTCCGCTTCATAATAACACATTCAGTATCTACATAGCTTTTAGAAGGTAGATATGTATGCCCCCAAATGCCCTAATATGGCCGAGAGTGGGGTGGGTTTGCCCTCCCTCTCGAAATGTTCTCACACGGCCACGCGTATATAGCCTCTGACAGGGAAGTCCTACTCACTGCCTTCTCGTGGCGGGGGTGTTGTTTACGAAAATAAGAGGACGAAAAGCGAATGTCCGGCGTTTTAACCGGATCCCAAATCAATGGTGTACATGGGCTCCAGTATCCTGACGGAACAAATGGAGTATGAACCAATCGTTGGTCACCGGCTACCATGGGACTGCATCTCCTCACGATGCTCCACTGCCTTGTGGGTCAGACGTTCAGGTCGAAGGTTCGGGGTGTGGCCCCCTAACAAAACTACCTGCTTCGGTTTGGGCACCCGGGCAGTATCACAGCCCTCACACAAATCAATTGAGATTTGTGTGGCGCATATGTATTTGTTGCCTCCTTGTACAAATGCCTGTGTTAAAAATAAATAAATAATAAACTCCCTGGCTGAGGTCTGAGAGATGGTGTAACACAGTGGCTAGAGACGTTATCAGATATGGCTCAGAATAGAAGCCAGTGGCGATCCTGCTGTAACCTTCTATTACTTTCTTCGTAAAGAGTGGTTGCTTCTTCCTTAACTGAAAGATTTCTCCCGATTGTGCCTTTTCGTTTCCCCCATTTTTGTTCTTTTTTAATGTAGATATTCCCTACGTTCCTTACCTTTCCTTTCCCCTTCTCTTTAAATTCTGATTGTTTTGTTTGGCGCGTATATATTTGGTGCCCCCTTGTACCAATATTTATGAGTTTAAATAAATAAATAAATGTATGCTGTTAGCTCCATGCTTTTGACATGATATTGTTGATACTCGTCGTGCACAAAGCTTAATATTGACTAGAAAATTTTATGTTCATTATTAACAAGTAGGTTTGTTTCAGATATTTTTGTTGTACAATGTGGGACTAAGGGCAAATTATCGATCACAAACGTTTGGTGGTATGTAATTGCTGCCCGAATTTCGAGGAAAACTGGTCCCTTGGATTTCATCCCTACCTCTTGTATACTTAATAATCGTTATCATAAAATTATCTGTAGGTTTAAGTGTTGTAAGTGAAATTTATGTATTACAGCAGTAATAACTGAACTTAAAGACTCATAAAATACGTGTAAATATTTCTTTATCATTGTGCAATACTTGATTTCTAATTACAGATATCTCACCAGTGCAGTGACTTCAATGGAGTCGGTTAAAGAGATAGGACCATCAAGTTTTCAGCACTTCCTATCTCAGAGTATTGCCAGTTGGGATCCAGAACATCGAGCAAACGAAGTTCCGGCTAGTAGTGACTGTCTTCTCCGAATAACTAAAGACTTACGTTCCATTTGCAAGTAAGTTGTATGAATAAGTATTCTCACTTCAGACAGCGATCCAGCCCCTGGAATCTGTGTGGTACCTGACAATGAAGATATGACAAAAATATACGCATTGATCACAGGTCCATTCGATACACCATATGAAGGTGGCTTTTTCTTGTTTCTCATACGATGTCCCCCCGAATACCCACTCATGCCGCCAAAGGTCAAATTGATGACTACTGGGAATGGTACTGTAAGGTTTAATCCAAATTTTTATTCCAACGGAAAGGTAAGACTTATGTGAATAAATTAGTGCCAGTTCGGCATTACCTTGTGTAAAGAATTCTGTCTTAACTGCATAAATTTTCACACTTTCTTAAAATCAAATTACTTCGAAATCAGTCTCCAATCCAAACTCTCATCTCTTCCCAGTCTAGACGTTTAGAAAGATGGGCAAAACACTTTAAGGAGCAGTTCAGCTGGCCTCTAGCTACTCTACAACTACCTACCATTCCCAGACAGTGTGAATGGAACATTGAAGTAGGTCCCCCAACTCTAGTTGAAGTTCAAAAGGCTACAGTTAATCTGAAACGAGGAAGGGCAGCTGATTCAGATGGATTGGCTCCAGAGGTCTTTAAGGATGGTGGTCCAAGTTTAGCGACTAGGTTGACTAATATTTTAGCTAAAATCTGGGAGTTGAACGCAATTCCATCTGACTGGTCGCAATCGCTTATTGTCCCGATAAATAAGAAGGGGTCAAAATCGTTCTGTGACCTGGTCGTGGCTGCATCGACCACATATTCACCACTCGTCAGGTTCTAGAACACAGGCATACTGATCGGCGTCCGACAATGGTGGTCTTTCTTGACTTAAAAGCAGCATTTGAATCTGTTGACTGAGAGGTTCTGTGGCAGTGTCTGTCATTGAAAAGCGTACTTCAGAAGTACATAAACATTGTGAAGGCTCTTTACTCGAACGCTCCTACTCGAGTCAGAGCTTATGGCCAACCGTCATCTGATTTCGCAACCTCAAGTGATGTCCGTCAAGGCTGTCCACTTTCTCCATTTTTGTTTAACTTCATCATAGACCTACTGATGGAAATAACATTCTCGTCGACTGAATTCTCCGGTATTGATCTCCTTCCAGGAGGTCCACTTATTGACTTAGAATAAGCAGATGACGTAGTCCTGTTTGGTGAAGACGCTGATAAAATGCAGTCTTCTGGTAGAACTGAGCAACAATGCCAGAATATTTGGGATGCGCTTCTCTCCCTCCACATGTAAGTTGTTGCTCCAGGACTGGTCTGAACTAAGGATAGGGAATGAAATAGTCGAACTTTTCGACAACTTCACTTATCTTGGGAGTCTGATCAGCCATAATGGGTTGGTGTGTGACAAAATCTCAGCACGGATTCAAAAGACTCGTCTGGCCTTTGCCAACTTATGTCACCTATTGCGAAGGCGAGATATCCGTCTATCAATAAAAGGACGAGTATAGTGGGCAGCAGTTCGTTCTGTTTTAATTTACGGCAGCGAAACATGGCATGCCTTTCAGTTTTACTAATAGAAAAATAACGATATCACTAGTTCTAAATCAATTGTTGTTGTTTACATGCATTCAAAAAATGTTCATTGTCATAACGTACTAGAATATTTACCGATAAAGAGATATCCGGTTAGATTTTTTAAGACTGACGTACTTTTCATTGGATTTTACTTACCACACTCCCCATAGGTTTGTCTAAGTGTTCTCGGTACTTGGCAAGGTCCCGAATGGACACCAGCACAAAGCTTATCTTCAGTTTTAATATCAATTCAATCTTTGATGAACGATAAACCGTATTTTAATGAGCCTGGATTCACCACTGAACGTAGCCCAGGAGATGCTCAACAATACAATGCAATAATTACACATGAAACTATTCGATGTGCAGTTTGTGATGTATTAGAGCGTCGTACAACATTTCCTTCGGATTTATACGCGGTAGTGGAATCTAGTTTTGAGGATTATTACGAATATTATATTAGCGTTTGTGAACGAAATATGCATTTATCAGGTCAACCTATGGTTGATCCTTTCGAAGATGGACGGGGGATTTTTGATTATGCTAGTCTATTAAAGCGTTTAAAGGCTTTGAACAGTCAATTAAAACAAAGGCATTCTGGAACAGATAACGTCAATGCGATGGGCATGCCAGTAGAAAACAAATGACAACCTATACAGTCCTAACAATGAATTCTGGACTACAATTGACTACCAATTCGGAAGAACATGTAGGGTGTTTTGTTGTATATCATCAAGTTTATATTAAATCTAGTTAACTTTATTTCTGTCACTTTCCAAGTGTCTTGTTTTTGATAAAGTAAGCACTTCTCTTGATCTATCCATTTTAATTTGATTGTTTTCCATTCCCCTTTACAATTTTATTTTCTCATTTTGCTATTACTATTATTGCTTATAAAGTGCGAAATGATGTTAAACATGTATAAAATGTTCTAGAAATGGAGGATAAGTAATGTACGCTTTAGTTTGATTGATTTCGTTTATTGGGGTGTTATGGTTTCTCCTATTACGACCCAACTACCCTTAATGCTTAGTAATCTGGACCCTACTTCGCTCGACAAGTACCCAAACTAGAACACGGTTGAACAGAAACGTAATTATATCTCAAATAACAAGGGTGGATGGAAGTAGGAATCAAAATAAGAAAAGTTTGAGCATATTTACACTTTTTACACAAAAAGATTCTAGAATTCTCTCCAAGTCTCCGTTAGGGCTGATTGGTTAGGAAACAGCCAATCAGTGTGCCTTAACACTCCTGCATAGGACATGCTTTAATTCGATCTATATCCCGCTAACATGGAGGGACTTGTGGGTTTTTGTCGATTTTACAGGTGCAGAATTATGTTGAGAGTCACCAGGAATGTGCTACTGCTGGCTGAGCGTAAACTGTAATTTTTTAAACATAGAACCATAGATAGGTGTCATTACCAAGGTTTGACTTGATAATTTCGAATAAATTGAGCATTGGGTAAATTGTTATAAATAAATTTATCCTATGAGGAAGTGACTTACACTGAGTCACTCATTGGGATATCACAAATATATTTATTTATAAAACCATAGGGTTGATGTGCACTATTGAGTTACAAAGATATTTTGGAAAAACTGAAAAATCAATTGATAGTAGGTCTATCAAGTTAATTCCTATATAACAGTAATTGAATTATAACTGGCACCTAAATAGGCGTATAATAAACGACAAAAAATGTTAACACTCGCCTCGAAGTTTGCAGAAAATTATTTATTTCATTTGAGTTAACATGTCATTCACCACTTTAATGCACTTGGGTTGATTATTTCAATCTTAGGAACAGTTTTGTATGTAGTGTGTAGGTATTTAAGCTCAGGGTCTTTTGATTTGATATATTCATACAAATTCTTCACCAAAGCGTTCGACATTGGTTCAAAAACTGGGAGACTTGCGTACAGTTCGCTTGTTTGTGTTATAATTTCTTTTATTTGTCCACCACCATTAATACAACCTGTAAAAAAGTACAAACGATCAATAATAGATACATACAATCAACAAATAACTAGAACTAATCATAAAATATGGCAGTGTCAGGTTACCAACTTAAATTTTGTCCAAACTGTTTCGGTTTGTTCAACTCGTTAGTAGTACTGGCTGTTACACAAAAATTAATTTTCAGTACTGAGTTCACGCGGTTATTAAGTTACAGTCAATTAGATCTATGAGAATGCCAAGTTACTGTCTTGTAAATTACACTTAGTGAAAAAAACTAGATCCAGCTCCACATCACACGATCATGGTGACTAAATACTATCAGTTAAAGTTTATAACACAACAGTTGGGTTGAGTAAATAGAAACAATATAATTCAAGTGCAATTAACATATCACAAGAGCACGGTGAGCTGAAATTAACGAGAAGACTATCAGGAGAAAAATTAGAGAAAATTAAATAGTGGAGCATACTGTCTAGAGAGAATGAATTCGAAAAACGCTTACTGAGGCTCAATGCGTAGGGAAAGAAGAGTGAATCCACGGGCTTATTTGGCCTAACGTTTTCAACCACTGGTCACGCGGACCCAAAACGTAATTTGCCCCTACCAACACGCCTCACTCCAACGGTCAACTACTTCACGGACTCGTGTCATACTCCAACCAACATCGCGTTTTGTGATATACAACACAGTATACCATGAAGTTTAGTCTACACTTACCTTGATTGGAGGTGAAACAGCACACCTTGGCAGTACAAAATCCCTTCCTTATGTAGTTAATTGTGCCATATTTCTGCTAGCCAGTCAGGTTTTGAACAGCCACTTCTAAGCTTCTGTAGTTGCTGCTGACTATCAAATGACTAATAATGCATTTTCAATATCCAACTATACAGTATTTAGGACGCGTTGGATTTACATGAACAAGTTTCCTGTTTCATAGAGTGGGATATATAGTGTATATGTGTAAGAAGATCTACTACAGTACCTGTTCATTTCAACGTGACCTGCGCTAAAATTTAACTCAGCTAGGACTGGTTCATTTGTTAATCTCAGGAACATATATTACAAAATACCCAACAGTTAACAGATGGTCTTGTATCCAGTCGTACCTGCTTTAACAGACAACTTAAGGGCGTACATATATTTCGGTGAATTCAGATATGATCGGAAAGTTTCCTTTCAACACTAAATTCAATATAAGTAATCTACGAAAACATTTGACTAACCATTTGGACATGCCATCACTTCTACATAATCAAACGGATAGTGGGCTTTTATCTGTCTAAACTTTATTAGATCTGGGTTATCGCATTTTCTAGATTGATAAGTTTTCCGCAGATATTGAACAATAGTTTGGATATTGCGAAACCCATTAGCTATCCCAAATACTAACAGTGCTTTTGGTTGAATTTCAAAGTGACGGTAAGGTGTTCGATTCGAAAGAGGCGATAACAGAGACTCCGCCAGACTACGATCTTCTTTTGAATTAAACAAGATTAACTCCTTGGAAATAAAATAAAACAAGCAAGATAACGTGGTGTAAATATTTAGTCAACAACAGACACAAAACGATCGTTGATTATTCACCTTATTTTGAATATTGCATGCAGTTAACTATACATACGTAGTTTTGCATTAAAGTCTTAGTATCGTTTACAGCATTCAAATTAAATATTGAGATATTAGAATGAGTAACACAACAAATGATTTATGTTAAAAGTATTCCTTTGAAAATTCTACCGAATACAATTTAAACCAATGCAGGTGAACTGAGGAAGTGCAACATGCTGACTTATTATAAAAATAGGATCGATGGTAATGTATTTTCGAAATTAATCGGTGTGTTTCGGAGAAAATAGAAATATATTCCTTTCTCTTTCTCCTGGTGATCGACTGGATCATGAAGACATCAACATCTGAAGGGAAGCACGGGATACAGTGGATAGCTAGGATGCAATTGGATGATCTAGACTTCGCAGATGATCTGGCTTTTCTATCGCATACGCAACAACAAATGCAGGAGAAGACAACCAGTGTAGCTGCAGCCTCAGCAGCAATAGGTCTCAATATACACAAAGGGAAAAGCAAGATTCTTCGATACAACACAGCATGCACCAATCCAATCACAATTGACGGAGAAGCTTTGGAAGATGTAAAAACCTTTACATATTTGGGCAGTATCATCGATGAACACGGTGGATCTGATGCAGATGTGAAGGCACGGATTGGCAAAGCAAGAGCAGCATATCTACAACTGAAGAATATCTGGAACTCAAAACAATTAGCAACCAACACCAAAGTCAAAATTTTCAATACAAATGTCAAGACAGTTCTACTGTATGGGGCGGAAACCTGGAAAACTACGAAATCCATCGTCCAAAAGATACAGGTGTTTATTAACAGTTGTCTACGCAAAATACTTCAGGTCCGCTGACGGGACACTATTAGCAACAACCTACTGTGGGAGAGAACAAATCAGATCCCAGTGGAGGAAGAAATCAGGAAGAAGCGCTGGAAGTGGATAGGACACACATTGAGGAAAACACCCAACTGCGTCACAAGACAAGACCTCATATGGAATCCTCAAGGTCGAAGGAGGAGAGGAAGACCAAAGAATACATTACGCCGGGAAATGGAGATAGATATGAGAAAAATGAACAAGAATTGGATGGAACTAGAAAAGAAGGCCCAGGACAGAGTGGGTTGGAGAATGCTGGTCGGCGGCCTATGCTCCATTGGGAGTAACAGGCTTAAGTAAGTAAGTAAGTAAAAACGAAAGACCACAAACCAACCTGAATATCTCGATTTTGTAAATGGCGAGTTAACACACGTTCATCCTCTAATATATTAGACTTTAATTTTACCGAAAATAGTTCTTCTGCTGCCATCTTAAGAATACACGCTGCGTATCCCCCTGAACCACTCCCAATGTGTCTATACATCGGAAGCATTTCGTTGACTAGCAAAGGAAAATGGGCGAATCCAACACCAGTTTTTCCGTGCGACATTTTTACGCAGAATATTTCATATAATCTAGAAAACAAGGGAAGTATTTGGCATTTAGTTTTTTGTTTTTATAGACTGTAGACTAACTAGTGTGGTAAATACCAATTCCCTTTAGCTGGAGATTAGAATTATCAATAAAAATCACAATTCTCTAAATATGTGGATGTATTTTGATTTAAATAAAGCGAGCACAATACCATCTACAGAATGCGAATTCGTTATGTCGTAGAAATCCTTTTAGCTACATAAGTTTGATTATTATTTCGAATGGAACATAATTATAAAAATTAGACTTTTCAGAAATAAGGAGCAGTGTGTATGAAATAAAAATGTAGTTAAGAATTATAGTTTTAACAGACTTTTGTAAATACCTGAAGCGATAGTTCTATAGTATTCAGGTCGGTCTCATTAATTAACACAACAAAAATTCCAACAGATTCAGAAAGAAATATGTGAGTTACATTTCATAATATTATTATAATTCATCGAAAAATAAAATGCTAGGATCAACTATAGTTTCAGAAACACCGCCTAATTTTTAACAACTGATTTAATACTTTAAGGCTGGTTTTACCTGCTTCGGTTTGGGCACCCGGGCAGTATCACAGCCCTCGCACATATCAAATGGGATTTGTGTGCCGTATATGTATTTGGTGCCTCCTTGTACCAATATCTATGT